GGCTGAGGAGGCAGGAGAATCACTTGAATCCGGGAGGTAGAGGTTGTGGTGAGCCGAGATAGCACCACTGCACTCCAGCCTGGGCAACAAGAGCAAAACTCCGTCTCAAAAACAAAACAAAACAAAATGTTTTTAGATTTAATCAGGCAAAAAGATCTTAATAGGTCTGATGTTACCAAAAATAAGAAACAAGTTAACAGGATTAAGTATAAAGTCCTGTATTTAGAATAAGAGAACCTAACCAACAATCACAGAACAGTAGAGACTGGTACATACGTCAAACTACTATAAAAAGGCTGCTTTAAGCCAGGCACAATGGCTCACACCTATAACCCCAGCACTTCGGGAGGTCAAGGTAGGACCTTGAGCTCAGGTGGTCAAGACTACCCTGAGCAACATAACAAGACCTTGTCTCTACTAAAAAAAAAAAAAAAAATTAGCCGGGTGTGGTGGCACACATCTGTAGTCCCAACTACTTAGGAGGCTGAGGTGGGAGGAATGCTTAAGTCTGGGAGATCAAGGCTGCAGTGAGCTCAATCATGCCACTGCACTCCAGTCTGGGTGACAGAGTGAGACACTGTCTCCAAAAAAAAAAAGTTGCCTACAGTAGGAGGTAGAGGAGAGGCCATTAAGTGCACCCTCAATAAACCATAAATCTGACAGAGCTACACAAAACATCAATGCAGTCTCAAGTTGCATTAGTAGAAGATGGCTCTATGCCCCATCTTTGAAGAGCAAAGTTAAAGAATCTGCAGAGGAAGGATGCCAATGACCATGGTGACAAGTCTAAAAGTATATAATTTCAAATGTGGAGGAAGAACTACACACGTTTAGCCAGGGAAGAACAAGAAAACTTTTTTCAAATATACACACAGCTGTCACAGATGAGGAGAAAGACTTATGAGTCCACCATAAGAATACAAAACCAGAACTAAGGAGTGAAAGTTACAAGATCGATTTTGGTTTGCCATAGGGAAAGAAATCTCAGCATGTTGAAGTTCGGAATGTGGGACGTAGAACCCAGAATGCTTGGATTAGGATATCAACTCCACCATTTATAAACTTTGTGGCTTTCAGGAGATTATTTAATTTATCTGTGCCTCAGCTGCCTTCTCTGTAAAAGAAAATAGTAATAATAGAACTTAACTCATAGAGCTTTAAGAAGTAGTTTCTGGGGCCGGCTGTGCTGGCTCATGCCTGTAATCTCAGAACTTTGGGAGGCTGAGGTGGGCAGATCACATGAGGTCAGGAGTTTGAGACCAGACTGGCCAATATGGTGAAACCCTCGTCTCTACTAAAAATACAAAAATTATGTGGGCGGTGGTGGTGCGCGCCTGTAATCCCAGTTACTTGGGAGGCTGAGACAGAAGAATCACTTGAACCTGGGAGGCGGAGGTTGCAGTGAGCCAAGATTGTGCCACTGTACTCCAGTCTGGGCAACAGAGCAAGACTCCATCTCAAAACAAACAAACAAAAGGTAGTTTCTGTAAAGTGCTTAGAAAAGTGCCCAGTTCACAGTATATGCTGGGAAAAAAAAAGTTACCTATTGCTATTACTAACTGTTGATACAATAGACCAGGGTGGGTGAGGTGGCTCATGCTTTTAATACCAGCATTTTGAGAGGCCAAGGCAAGAGAATTGCTTGAGCTCCAGAGTTTGAGACCAGCCTGGGCAACATAGCAAGACTTCATCTCTACTAAAAATACAAAGAGTTGCCAGTCACAGTGGTGTGTACCTGTAGTTCAAGCTACTCTGGAAGCTGAAGTGGGAGGATAGCTTGAGTCTAGGAGATCGAGGCTGCAGTGAGCTATGATGATGCCACTGAATTCCAGCCTGAGTGACAGAGCGAGACCCTGTCTCAAAATGTAAACAATACGAAAAACAGACCAGATAACCTGAAGACCTTCCTACTAAATATGCCTGGAAGTGCTTAGAAAAAAATATAACAGAGCCAGGTGTGGTGGCTCACGCCTGTAATCCCAGCACTTTGGGAGGCTGAGGTGGGTGGATCACTTGAGGTCAGGAGTTCGAGACCAGCCTGGCCAACATGGTGAAACCCCATCTTTAAAAAAAAAGAAAAGAAAAAAGAAAAAAAAAATTATATATATATATAAAATAAAAATCCTTTTAGACTGTGCCAGTTATTAAGGTATTGTCTCTCAGCTCCACATCTACCCTGTTATGCTCCACTTTGTGATGCTGGGGGCTGGACTCCACTAAACTCCATTTCACTGGCTTCCTGTCAACAGGGGGTGCTAAAGGGAAAACAGAAGACAAGAGGAGGCTACAAGGGACTTCCTCCTTCCTGTAGCCTGGTGTTTCTTGACAACAGAAGTTGGTTCTTCCCAGTTCCTTTCTAAACTCCCAAAACCAGCCTTTTGCCCCTCAGAGGCATCAGCATCAGCTAAGTAAGGCTCAACTGAAGCTAGCTCCTCCAGGTTCCTCCTGTGAGGGCTTGAGAAACCAGAAGCACCAGGCAGCACCTTCTCCCCAGAGAATCTGGGCCCAGCTCCTCCAGATCCTTCCAGATTTCTAGGTTCTGGTAACTCCAACCTTCTTCCCTTTGGTTTTCAGTCCCAGATGAGAAAACTTCTTTATGCAGTTATTATATCAAAGTTACTTTCATATTCCTTTTTGCTTTTTTAGCCTTCCATCAAGGGTTTAAACCAGTTTCCTTTATGGCGTTTATTGTGTGGTTTCTGTTTTGCTGACTGGATCTGAACTGACATATAGATAAACTGAGCTCACAAGAAAGTAAGGGAAATCCCCAGGAACCAGAAACAAAGAATTAGTGAGCAAGATTAGTGAGCTGGTGACGTGCTGTCCTGGCAGCATAAAGAATCTGTAACACCCTCATAGGTTCAGAAGACAGATCTTGAGCCCTCAAAAGGCATTGAGATCCCTGTCCAGAGGCTGAGACTCTTAAGTTTATACTCAGTAAGATAACAGACTAGGAAAAAAATCTGTCCAGAGAGAAATAAAAAAGCTTGCCTTGCTCACCCAGTGAGGTAGAAGGAAAAAAATCTTCTAGTAATCCAAAACAGGCGGGTGAGGTAGTTGCAGTAATCCCAGCACATTGGGAGGCTGAGGTGGGTGGATTGCTTGAGCCCAGGAGTTCAAGACCAGCCTGGGCAACATGGGAAAACCCTGTCTCTACAAAAAATATAAAAGTGTGCCGGATATGGTGGTGTGCACTTGTGGTCCCAGCTATTTGGGAGGCTGAGGTGGGCGGATTGCGTGAGCCTAGGAGGCAGAAGTTGCAGTGAGCCGGGATCCTGCAATTGTATTCCAGCCTGGGCAGCAGAGCTAGACAGATCCTACCTTAAAATAAAATAAAATTCTAGAAAGCTGAAATTAATCTGTAGTGAAAAAAAACCAATCAGTGGTTCCTGGGACCAGTGAGCCGAGATCCTGCAATTGCACTCCAGCCTGGGCAGCAGAGCCAGACAGACCCTACCTTAAAATAAAATCAAATTCTAGAAAGCTGAAATTAATCTGTAGTGAAAAAAAAAAAACAATCAGTGGTTCCTGGGACCAGGGTGAAAGGAAAAATGGACTGTAAAGAAGCATGAGAAATCTTCTGGGGATGAGAGAAATGCTCTGTATTTCGACTATGGCTGCTTTTTGCAGGTGCAGACATCTGCCAAAACTCAACTTTTTCTGTTTTGTTTTTTTTTTTTTTTTTTTTTTTTTTGAGACGGAGTTTCGCTCTTGGTACCCAGGCTGGAGTGCAATGGCGCAATCTCGGCTCACTGCAAACTCCACCTCCTGGGTTCAGGCAATTCTCCTGCCTCAGCCTCCTGAGTAGCTGGGATTACAGGCACGCGCCACCATGCCCAGCTAATTTTTTGTATTTTTAGTAGAGACGGGGTTTCACCACGTTGACCAGGATGGCCTCGATCTATTGACCTCGTGATCCACCCGCCTCGGCCTCCCAAAGTGCTGGGATTACAGGCGTGAGCCACCGTTTGTTTTATTTTTTACAAGACATTGGAAACCACAAAACTCAACTTTCTTTAAAATTATTATAGACACAAAATTGAAAACATGAGACAAAAACAAGATCATGAAAAACAAGCAGATCTGAAAATGAACAAAAGAGCACTCCTAATAAGTGACAAAGTTAGCTAATGAAAATAAGAATTCAGAAAGCAAATTAGACCTAATGAAGAGTTAACTAGGATACTAGAAGGCAGATATAAGGAAATTACCCAGAAGTTAACAGAAAGATAGAAATGGAAATTATGGAAGAATAAGATGTGAAAGACAGAATGCGGAAGTCCAACATAAGTTAAAGATGAGATCTGAAAGAGGTAAAGAGGTAATGATTGGGAATTTTTACAAAATTAGTGAAAAGATGAAATTTCAGATTAAGGAATTACTATATGCCCCCAGTACATAGTGATTTAATAAAATTAAATTCACAACCTATAATGGAAATACAGAACACAAATTACAACAAAGAGAATCTTAAAAACAACCAGAAAGAAAGACAGCTTACCTACAATAAAATAAGTTAATTTGTAAGCATAGTTCTCAAGAGTAACAACAAAAATTCAGAATTTCGATGAAATAACACTTTCAAAGTGTTAAGAGACAATAATTGGAAGCCTAATACACAGCTAAACTATCAATCAAGACTGAAGGTGAAATAAAGATTTTTTAAATGAAGACAGTGTTTACCACTAACAGATTCCCACCTAAGCAAACATGTGAAGGATGTATGTATCTATAATAAGAAAGGAAGGAATAAAATGCAAGGAAAACTGGACAAACAGTAGACATATATGGGTGAAACAAAATAATCACTAACAATGTAAAACAACACACATTTTAATTGAGATGGAGTCTCACTATATTGCCCAAGCTAGCCAGGAACTCCTGGCCTCAAGCAATCCTTCCGCCTGCTCCTCCTGCCTCAGCCTCCAGAGTAGATGGGATGACATAGCCAGCCACCATGCCCAGATACAAAGTAATAATAATAATTATTTTTTTAATAAAAAAATATGGAATGCTTCACGAATTTGCGTGTTATCCTTTCGCAGGCGCCATGCTAACTTCTCCGTATCATTCCAATTTTAGTATATGTGCTGCCGAGGCGAGCACAAGTAGTAATTATAGAATTGCTCAACATCGAGATGGATTGACTTTGGGAATGGTCTCATTCTAGAAAGTCCTCATTTTGAGTCTGGGCAACACCTTTTCATACGTTTAGTGGGTTAGAGGCTGAATTAAATGACCACACCCTTTCAATGGCAATAACAGCAATTACTTTTGCACCAACCTATATCTTCTGATCATAATTTTATCAATTAGACACAGCTGTCCAAACAGCCCCTGATCAGCTCTGTTTAGCCACCTAAGGAGGGCTTTGCCCTCATCCTAACAGTTCGAGAATTCAAGTCTTATTTCAAGGCATTCTTCCCGCTTCCATATTCCACATGTAAAAAAGAATTCTATGTTCCCTAATGAGCTTTCAGGTAAGATCTTTAAGCTTTTGGGGTGCACAGTTTTTTGCTTTGAACTAAGATTAGGCATTACAATTAGTCATCACTGCTTGAACTTAGGCCAAGAAAAGAGTACTTCGGAAGCTTTCACAACGTGTGTGCTTCTTCTAAAAGAGAAAATACCACACAGAAGCAGAGGGAGAGAGGAAACATACACCCATCCGTGCTGACTGAAAGCTCCTTTACATGATTTTCATGCTCACCCCCGGTTCCCATATATTCACAGCAGTAAAGATCTCCACAAAGTAGACAGGCCCAACTCCCTTACTATTAAAGCTTTAACGACCAGACAACCCAGAAGTTTGGAAACATAGAACCAGCGAACAGATACTAGAGAGAGGGAGGTATGTATTAAGGCAAGAAAATATCATCACGTTTTCAAGAGGGAGTGACATTCCAGGAAAGAGGACAGCTTAATACTTAGGTTCAAATGCCACTAAATGAAAATGGGGGCCGGGCGCCGTGGCTCACGCCTGTAATCCCAGCACTTTGGGAGGCCGAGGCGGGTGGATCACGAGGTCAAGAGATCGAGACCATCCTGGTCAACATGGTGAAACATTGTCTCTACTAAAAATACAAAAATTAGCTGGGCGTGGTGGCGCGTGCCTGTAATCCCAGCTACTCCGGAGGCTGAGGCAGGAGAATTGCCTGAACCCAGGAGGCGGAGGTTGCAGTGAGCCGAGATTGCGCCATTGCACTCCAGCCTAGCGAAACTCCGTCTCAAAAAAAAAAAAGAAAATGGGAAAGCAAAGTTCCTGTGCCCTTTCAGTCCAGGAAAACACATTATTCCAAAGCAAACATTAATGCCCATTACATGTCGCAAATCCTGCCTTAGCCATTAGGATACAGTGACGAAAAGTCTCTCATTATCTAGAAGGGCAGACAAACACGCAGAGACTCTTAAAATACCAGATGACAAGTGCTAACTCAGAGGTAAGCAAAAGAGAGTACCCAGAGGCGGGAGCATCAACCCACAATCTTCACACAGTCACATCACTTATAATCATAAATTTGTACCCTCCGAGGTGAGTGTATGAAACATGTTATCTGTGAATAAAACAAAATACCAAAACAAAACAAGCCCATAAAATAAAAAATAAAAAGACCTACCTCTTTTGACCAGGATAACTACCCCAGGAAGTAGGTAAGTTTACATATATGAAAAGTGAGGCTCAAAATACACCGACCAGCCCAAGACAATGCGCACCCCCACAAAGCACCTTCCCCGTCTTCATTTATGCCCAACTGGCAAAACCCCAAGTAGAGCCAACCTCGCATTGGCTACGTAACCCTGGCCAAGCTAAACATTAAAAACCTCGGCCTCCCCATCTTTAAAGTATAACAGGTGCTTAGAGGATTGAAAAACCATTGGGAGGTCATTGTGGACAGTGTAGCTCAGAAAAATGCTGACTACTGCACTACCATAACTACTGCTATTGATAACGATAAACGCTGAAGACTTTCCAGGACCCGACCCCTCGCTTACAAGCCTTTCAGGCACTACCCTACCCCCAAACCCCGACCCCCGTCGCCCTCAGACTTAATTTCACAGACACGCCCCCAAACAGACCCTCCCCTTTATGGCACCCCCCCCCGGCTCCTCCCCCTCAGACAGGCCGCTCTCCTAACAAACCTTACCCCCAAATTGTGCCCTTTCGGACTCGGTTACGGAGGAGGCCTTCCGCTCACACCGGCCTCTCCAGCACCCCGGTGCGCAGGCCGCATGCCAGACGCGGGCCCGCGCCGGTTACCTGGCTGCACGCTCCCGCTCCGCCTTGCGATTCCCACTAATCGTACCTTATCCCGGGCTCTGGCCAGCGCTGTGAGCGCACAATTAGTTTAAACTATGGCTCCGCCCCCTCGTGCTGCCCTCTGATTGGCCTCTGTCGGCAGTTGTCTTACGCGGGGCACGCTTGAAGACCCGGGGAAAGGAAGTTTGAGGGCCACTGGGAAAGAGAAGGGGTATCACCGCTTCCGGACCCCGGCCTGGATTTGAAAGCAAAGAAAACTACAAATCCCAGCGCCACCCGCGGCCTTGAAGCTCCGCCTCTGACAAACTACAGGTCCCGGTAAGCATAGCGTCAGTTCTTACGGCGCCTGCGGGATAGTGGCGACAAAAGTAGTTGCTATGGAGTTGCCCTGAGTAACCCTGAGGGACTCCGAGACTGGAGAGGAAGCAACTGCGGGTGAGTCAGGCGGGAATACAGGAAACTCATTCTAGGGGACAAGAGATCTATGGAGAAGGGAGGGGCACCCACAGAACGACTAAGAACTTCCCTGCTGGGGGATCTGAGATTTCCCCCACCTCCCCTCATTCCCTTTCACAGTGGGCAAGACACAACACCCACATGGGACAAACTGTGGGGGCAGAGGGAGGGAAAAGCATTGAGATACAAACCCATACAGATTTGGGAGTGTTTAAGAACTTCCCCCAGGGCCGGGCGCGGTGGCTCACGCCTGTAATCCCAACAGTTTGGGAGACCAAAACTGGCGGATCGCTTAAGGCCAGAAGTTCGAGACCAGCCTTAAAAACATGGCGAAACCCCGTCTCTACCAAAAATACAAAATATTAGCTGGGCTTGGTGGCGTGCTCCTGTGGCCCCAGCTACTAGAGAGGCTGAGGTAGGAGGATCGCTTGAGCACAGAAATTGAGGCTGCCAGTGAGCCGTGATTGCACCACTACACTCCAGCCTGGGCTACAGAGCAATACCCCCATCTCAAACAAAACAAAACAAAACAACGAACCTCCGCCCCCAACACAAACATAAGGCTCCCCAAATCAGATGCTTCAAGTCCCAGGCCCAACCTGGGAGATCGGAAACGCCCTCAGAAATGGGATTTGTTTTCCTCTGAAGAATTTGAACCCTCTTCCAAAACATGTTTTCCTCTGAAGAATTTGAACCCTCTTCCAAAACATGCGATTAGCATTAGATAGAGTAAATCCGCAGTCCCTACCCTAACTCTGGAGATGTAGGAAACTTCCTGGGGCGTGAAGTGCCTCTTTCCTTCCTCCCCCAAACAGTAAAACCTCTTCTCAATTGGCAGGATCCTCCCACACTGTTCCCAGATTCCCTTTTATCCCCACACCTTCTCCATGGTCCGCTTCTCAAAGCTCTAGTTAGTTATATTCTTTTTAGTCCTCACAGATCTATTACAATAAGTAACTTATCCAGCGCTTTCACAGTCTCTCTATTGATACTCTTACCAGCTCTGTTAGTCAAGGGTATTTGTCTTCATTTCACAGATTGGAAAAATGAAACCCAGAGAAAAGGGACTTGCCCAAGGCCACACACCAAATTAGTGACAAAGCTAGAACTAGACTCCAGTTCTCCGACTTTCAGCTGTCTCTTTAGCTTGAGCCTACGGCCTCAATAGCTGAAAGACCTGTTCCAAGGAACAAGTTAAACTGCCCCAGGGAAAAGTAACTTGTAGGGCCTACTTTGGACTATTTACACTTCAGCCTGAATAAGTTTCAGATCCTTCCATGAAAGCTGTAATGGGGAAAAGGAACTAGAGAGACTAAAGACAATGAGACTTGACATTTTTAACTAAACAGGAAACAGGAGGGCTAACACACCACCCATGTCTGAAGTGACCATGATTAGCTGGGTTTTAGCTGGTGGCTAACTGGCCCTGATTGGTCCACTTACTACCTTAAAGTTCTCCCAGGCTTGGTCCTATGCCCGCTTGCCACTGCATTCTATATTCTCTTCTTGGGTACTCCTCCGCACCCACAACTTCATTTTCCACCTGTATGCAGATGTACGCACTGTATGTCTCCGGCCCAGCTCTCATCTCTGAGCTCCAAATCTATACAGCCAATTGCCTCCTCAACATCTCCTTTAGGATATCTCAAAGGCAACCCAAACTCTGCATTTCTGAAATTGAAACCAATCTCTATGTACCCCAACCCCTTCCTCCAAGCCTGGATCTCTTTCAGTGCTCCTACTTTTATCCACAGTATACACAAAACCCAAGAGTTAATACCTCTTCCATTTATTTAATACCTCTTCCATTTCCCATCTATTATGAAGTCTTAACAGCTTTACTTCTTGAATATAGTTTATGTAGGTCCTAGCTACCATCACATCCTTCTTGCCTTCCCTTCCAGCCATATTTTCATACTGCAACCAGAGTAATCCTTCGAAATGCAAAGCTGATATTGTTCACTTGCTTCACCCCACCCCACCTTTTTTTTGAGACAGAGTTTCGCTCTTGTTGCCCAGGCTGGAGTGTAATGGCATGATCTCAGCTCACCACAACCTCCGCCTCCCTGGTTCAAGCAATTCTCCTGCCTCAGCCTCCCGAGCAGCTGGGATTACAGGCATATGCTACCACACCCGGCTAATAGTAGAGACGGAGTTTCTCCATGTTGGTCAGGCTGGTCCCAAACTCCTGACCTCCGTGATCCGCCTGCCTTGGCCTCCCAAAATGCTGGGATTACAGGCGTGGGCCACAGTGCCAGGCCAGCCCCCATTTAATATTAATAGTTTATGGTTTCCTATTGCTCCCGTCTCTCCAGCCTCCAGTCTAACCATACATATTCCTCCTTCTCTCCCCTTCAGTTATATAACCTTTAAGGTCTTCAAAATTTCCAAG